CACTCTGTGATTCTATGATTCCCAGTGCAAACGGAAACACGCTCAAACCCTTTAGCGTGGTTTTTTTGAAACGGAGCAGCGGGCTTGCCCTGGTTGGCTGAAGGGGAAGCACCCCGCTCAAAGCTAAGGTTCGGGAGCGGGTCAGCAGCGAAACAGCTTGGGGTGAAAGTCCTGTATCTTGGCACCGAGACCCAGTGTCGATGCAGAAACCCTTCCGCGAGACGCCGCCTGCCGAAGGAGACGGCTTGGTGGTACGTGTCATGTTAGCGGTTGGACTGGGTGATCTTAAAGGTCTTTTCCAACCTAAAGATCCTCTGATTGGGAAACGAGGAGGGAATTAAATCCACTGTGCCGACACCAGGGTGGCTCTGAAACCGGGGGAAACTCGTTAGTTATTTATCAAAGGAAGGCAAATCCTTAACGACTCAGACGAAGGAGCAGCAGAGAAGCTACAGGAAAACACTGTCTTCCAGCTCACGCTGGATCTTCACCAAGCGGAGCGTCAGACCCTCCCTCCTCTGCAGGATAAATCAGCGGTGTTTCCATCTTACGCAACGCCATCAGACACAGCCACGACCTCCAGAGACTCGCAACGTTGTCAGAACTGGTTTGCCAGTTTGGGATGAAAGCTGCCTTCCCCTGCAAGTACGGTTTTCTGGGGCAGGCTACGCCGAGCTGGCAGGAAAACGTGTCCGCACAGCTGCGGAGAGTCCCGAGCTCCCGCGGGATCAGCCTCTGGGATAGCGCTGCCTCCAGCTGCACTAGCAAGCTGCTGTGCCCAGCGGGCGCCCCCCGGGCAGCACTCTGGGCCCTGCCATCTCCTAACTGGGGCAGAGGGGCTTTACCTGCACCTCTAAAAACCCACCTTCTTGGGATTTATTCCCCTGTCGTGTTAGAAATGCCGAGAGCAAACTATTCCGTCTCTGCTACGGGGGAGAGGAAACACCCCAGCGCCGTGCTTGCTGCTCCTTTGTAACGGTGACTCACAGCACGCTCACACCTCCAGCACAACCTGGATTTCGCAGTGACATTTTAACACCGCTCAGGCTCGCGGGGACTCGGCAAGAAGAGCCGCGACAGCCTCCCGTTGGCGAGTTAAGCCCCCGCCGCCTGCAAGCCCCGGGTTCGGAAACTGAAGGGGCGGACATTCACGGGAGCTGAGGAGTCTGCTGTGGGGCTACCCGCGTCTCGCTGCTGGGGCCGAGCGTCGAGCAGTGAATTTTAAAAGCTAAAAATCAAATTGCTTAATGGGCTACGCGATTAAACGCGTTTTGAAGTCTTTTATGACAAACTTCCTGGAATTCTGAGGAGGAGCGCGGAGTGGAGAGGAATTCCCCACGCCGGGTGGAGAGAGGAAACGCCCCTACGCTTATTTTGAGGGACAGAAAGACAAGGTGGGGAATAAAAATCCTTGGGCTCAGCCATGCTCAGGCTACGCACAAGGAGTGGCAGGAAAGGATTAACCCCAGTCACTCATCGGACGGGCTACAAAGCTCCCACGTGGGGCTTCGAAGCGCTGGTGGGGGCAAATCAAATCCTTTAGCGCTGGAGGCCAGGCATTCTCCTACCCGCTTTACCTGCCGATTAATTTGGATCAACAGCTCCCAAAAGTGACCCAGGTTGGCAATTTGACAGCAGCCAGTTATTTTGCCTCGATGCTACTAAGGGCTAACGAGACGAGCTGCTCACCGGGCAGAAGAAACCCATCACCATGCATGGCAGCACACAGGAGACTGACTGATGGGGAAGGAGCGAGGGGGAGTTAGTGACGCCAGAGGCCATGAGAATGAGCAAAAAGGGAGAAAAATAGGTTAAGGCAGAAAAACAAAGCAAAGGAAAGCGAATGCTAAGCATGCACACAGCAACAACAGCGAGCGATGGCTCCCCTCTTCCGAGGGGGCTACGGCTGGTGCCTTCCAGCGAAGCGCTCGGGCCAGAGAAGCGAGATGTGGGTTAATTGCAGAACGTTACTACTCTTAACAAGGGTCTACTAGAAAATACTACCACAATGTCTTACAGACCAGCTTCAGCAGGTAACCTTTTGTAGAGCTCCTTCACCTCTTCGTGTTTGATTTTGCCTCTGGCCACGCTCTGCTTGCGCATCTCGGCCATTTCGTTGCACCACTCCTCGAACTTGGAGTTATCGCGCTCTACCAGCTCCTGCAGAAAAGCTGTTTGGGAAAGAAGAAAAACCAGTCGTTTCAAGGAAAAAATGCCAATTATGTTAATTATCCCTGCGGATCGGTTATCTGGGGCTAACAACCAAGCCTCAAAACTCCCCCGCGCAGCTACCGACGACGTACGAGGCCTTTCCGCACGCCAAGCGCGTGGACGTTGCCCTCTCTGGTATTTATGCTCGTAGACATTTAAATGCACAATGCCACGAGACAATCGTTGACTGGGGGTGGGAGAAACCCTCCGTTCCCTAACAAGGCCGCGGGGAACGCCAGCAGCCTCACTCAGCATCGGGGTTTGGCGGAGGCCGCAGGGCCAGAGCGCAGCAGGATGCCTTGCTGCCTGCTTCCATCCCTCCCTGCTTTCCCTCCCGCTCCGGCCATTCCTCTGCCTCACTCCTCTGCGCCGCTAAGGCCCCGCCATTCCCAGGGCAGGAGCTAGAGTTTTTCCACCCTGGGGATACACCTGAAGCCTGTCCCGACACGCAGCCCCACGGGTACGTGCGACTTCAGCGAGAGGGGTCGAGCGTGTTGCAAAGCCAAGGGCAAAAAACCCTCAGAAGATGGGGAGATAAGCCGGGGCAGATCCTGGTATCCACAGAAAGGTGAGGGAAATGGGAATTTTTGCTGTTGCCGATGGAAAAAAACCAAGCCTCAGCAGGAGAAAAAAGAAGATAAGACACTCCCTGGCAGGGCTGGCGTAAGGGCGGGGGAAGCACAGCTTATCTGACCCCTTTTCCTATTCAGCAGCATTTTGCAGAGCTAAAATATTCCCAGAAAGGTTAATGCTTGTGCGGCCAGGGAGGACAATACCCACCTTGGGAGAGCACGCAGCGTTACAAACCAACCGGCGTGATGCCCTTGCCAAGGATCACTCCCCAAAGCCAAGCTACCTCTCTCGGCCCTCCCAGAAAAGCCGCTTTTAACAGCATCAAAGCAAAATGCCTCAAATTTACAGTTGCATGAAACCTCCCCGCAACCGCACGGCTCGACTGCTGCCCTTCGCTCCCTGTTCCCTGGCAGGCTTCCACGTGAAACAAAGGCAACCGCCGGGCTGCTCAGGAATTTGGAGCTGGGTGGAGAGGCTTCTGCCGAGTTATTGTTTTGGGCAAAGGGGTAAGAGGAAAAGGAGCAGGAGAGAGCTCAGGAAACGGACTGAAAATGAAGATTGGAGGCAGGAATGAGCACGGAGCCCCAAAGCCGCATGGCTCGGAGGGTGGGTTTTAGGGGAGGGGGTCTGGAAAAGGTTTGGTGCTGTTACTAAGGGGGAAAAGCCGTAGGAGTGACCCCCTCTGCAACCAGGTAACCTGAACAAGCAGCAGAGGCCCGGAGGGGCCGTGCCAGCTCCGCCAGCCCTGCTTCGTAGGAGAGGGGAGAAGGTGGAACACTCCTCCACCGGCACCAGGGGCCTAATTAGCGTTTCTAATCGAGTAGCAGGCAAACGCGGAGCATCATTAAATCCACAGGGCAAACCTACAGGGATTTCTGCCACCCCCAGCAATTCTAAAGCAAGACAAGAGCTCCCGTCAAGGGCCTGCATCCTCCCGTTCTCACGCCGCTTACTCTCAACGCAGCAGAGATTAAGCCCGCGCAGAAGAAACCTGACATCTGTCAGGATCATTCACCCCCAGCATGGAACGCGTGCTGCCGATGACATTTAACCACGCTGCTCCCTTTCGCCTTCAGACACCCAAGCGCTTCCTGCGGGATCCTGGCTCCGAATCCCAAAGCTCCCAGCAGGATGATCCTAACCCCTTCCCACCTCATCTGTGTTAAGACAGCGAGGTCTGAGGGGGCACAGGGATTGTCAGGCTAAATTATTCAAGTGCTAGGACCCAGGGGTTTCACTGGCCGTGCCACCGAGCTGCTCTACGGCACCTTTGGGGGCTCACGGAAGGGGCTTCGAGCAAAACCCCGGCTCCTGACCCACCTGCAGCATTGCAAGATGAGATGGAGAGGCCGAGAGTCAAAGCCCACTCACCTGGTACTTCAACAGTCAGGGATTTCTCCCGGGTCTGCAGCCTGTACACCAGCATGTAAGCGTTGCGCGAGCAGTGGGTCCCTTTCCCGCACTTGGGCTTACGAGTCTGGGATTTAGAAGGTTCCGCTGCGGGACAGAAGGCAAAACACCATAAATACACGAGCTCACTCACTGATTCTCCGTTAATGGAACAAGTTTGCCACCTAGCCGGCTTCCCTCTTTCTACCGCGCTCCGTCAGGCCTCTTCTTGCCAAGCGCTGGGCTTGGCACGAGCCGAAGTTGTATCCCAAAGCAAGACCCGAATGCCTCCAGCGTTTCTGGAAGCAGGGTAATTCAAAGGGACTAAAATTCAAAGGGACTAAAATTAGGAGCCCGTTCTGAACCACCCTTCTACACCAGCCTTTCTTCTCTCCCCAGTTAAACCTCACCGAGCCACAAGCAGCTCTTGCAAAAACCCATCTCCCCCTGCCCCTCGTTCCGGTGTCCCGACACCGAGAACAGAGCCAAATCCTCAGGAAAGAAAAACCGTATTTACAGGTGACTGCGGGTGCGGAAAAACACGCGCCCTTCTGTCAGGCACCAAAGCTTTCATGACCAAACACGGTCATTTCGGAGCAGCTGGTGGGGCAACGTAAACGCGTGTCACGAGAGCTCCCGCTTCCAGACGGAGAGCCAGGCGAGGAAAAACACTTATCTACAGCTGCAGCTTCAAACATCAACAGGGCTTTAACTAAAAAACCCCAAAGGGACAACGCTCCATAGCTCGAGATCTAAATGGCATATTGAAATAGGAAGACAAGTGTCTGTCTGTCCCAAATTCTGGAAAAATCTGTGTGCCTCTCCCACCACTGTCCAGGGGACTTTCTAGACGCTCTGTATTTGCATTTTCTCCAAATACCGCTAAATTGTTCCCATCTGCAGGGCCAGACCACGGGATTCTGCCACCAGCAGACCTCTGCTTTACGCTACTGACCTCCCCCCACGGTGGCACGCGCTCGTAACGAAGAAGAGGCTCGGTTTCGGGTGGAGTAAGGAAGTAACACCAACACCTGACAAACACGTTGAGGCTCCCATCCCACAGAGGCTTCCAAACGCGCTCTGCTCGTACGCTCCAAGCAGCCTTGTGTTTCAGCGGGAATTTGCACCTTATTTTGCTAGGCTGGGTGAATTGTGAGGTTAAGGAGGACGGCGGAGCAGCTCCTTGCGTCGCGACGAAACGCAAGGTGTTTGCTAGCGAGAGCTGGAAACAAAGCGGCCCCGAGCGGCCGCGTGCAGGGAGGGAGCAGGACACAACGCCCGCTCCAGGGCGTGCTTGGCCCGATGCGGCTTCACAACCGACTGAGGGACCAAATAAATCCCAGGGTCTCTTTTCGTTAAGCAGCTACCTGGGGGTGCTTTAAGAAAGGCGACGTTTTACAAAGCCCGACTGCAGCAAAGCACGAGCGTCCTGGTGAGCCAGTGCTTCTGGGAACGGATTGCTTGTGCTGGAAGTGCAATTTTTGTCATTTACTTCCCCGTTTCCTCACACTGCAAAGCTTCCTGCGCTACCCAACTGCAAATCCAAACGCCCCAAACGCCAGTCTAACGCTGAGCCGCTCCTACGTATCGACTGCAGACCGAGAAGCCCGCAGGTCCAGCCTCCAAGAAACCAAGACCTCATCCTGGCCAGGGAACACGGTGATCTGGCAGCACCAGGACCCCGGCACGAGACGAGCCGACAACAGCAGAACAGGCGAACGCGAAGGAAAAAAGCACGAGGTAAAATGTTTTGGCTTCTGAGATGTTATTTGGATCAAGATTCAGTATGGAGATTCTTCACTGCCTCCAAGTGAAACACCTCAGTGGAAATAAAATCCTAATTTGTTACGGAAAAGTGAAAGTGACCTGGTTATCTGTTCCTCAGCCTCCGTTTGCGTTGCCGGTCGAGGAAGCGGCAGCCTGCCTGTTCCATCCCGATAGGCAACTGCTGTCTGAGTTATCAGCACCTTATCTGCCACGCGGCAGGCAAGGGAAACACTAGAGCAGAGGAACAACCCACGAGGTGTGTGTAAACACTCACACGGGGCCGAAACGGAGAAAATCTGGCCGCAGCAGCAGAACTGCCGCTTCACGCTTTACTCCCAAGGCGTGATGGCGTACGCCGCCGTTTTTAAGAGGAACAGGGCCTCCGTGGTTTTGGCAAAAAGAGTTATTTTAAAAGGGCACTCACAACTTAAAGGTTTTACCTAGATCCTCCTCAATCCCCAACTGCAGTTTCTTCCCCTCCATCTTTTCTATGTCTTCGTCGTTAAACTTGTACCACTCGCCCGTCTGCGGATCCTTCACGTGGGCGATGTAGTGGCCGGAGTAGGCGCTCACGCCGCGGTGTATGAGGACGGCACTAAGCTCGTAGACGTAGACGCCGTCTGGAAGGGAAGCGGCAGTCAGGCAGCGCTCGGGATGACAAGGGCACCCATCTTTTCCTTCCTAG